TGCGGTCATACAAGGTGCAAAACCCTAATATTATTCATTCATAACCTATGCTTAAGTACCACATATTCAAGGTTAATCAGGGTGATCACGCAAACATGGAAAAAATTAAAACCAAGTATTGCAGTCATAAGAAAATCGGATCACAAAGAAACAGGTTTTAGGGTTCCAATTGCACAACTTAACAATTCCTTTCAAGTTTGGTTCTAAAATAAATTTAGCAAAACAACCACATAGTCTCAGGCATCATACAAACCATATGTAAACTAGCAAGACATGTTAAAATATGGTCGGATTTATTTTAGTGCAAGTCCTAAGCCAAATAGGATTATGAATGCAAATCCTAAACCTAATAGGATTATGACCAAACAAGGGTTTTCAAAAATTTTAAAAATTCCGAATCATGCAACCAAGCAAGTACACATTACAAGCAATCAACAGGTGCATAAGGTCATGAAGTATCAAGCCAAGAACATCAGGATTTCAATTTTAGATTAGGGATCTAAGCAATTCGGATTTCAGATTCATGCGCATAGGGTTTTAACAAAACAATTCATTCAACCATGAAACCAATGAACCAAGCACTCGGTTTTAATTTTAAACACAACTAGATAGATCATATTATCATTCTAGAGCAAGCCTAGGTCGTGCAATTTACCAGGAGCAGATCAAGAAATTTAAGCAACTCAAGATCAGTTTATGCGCATAGAAAAACAGCTAGGGTTTTAGCAATTTTAATCAATTCAACCATTCAGCCAATCAGCCTAGCATTCAAACTCAATGTTAAAGACATCTAGATGGATCATATTAGTATATTAAAACAGACAAAGGTCGTGTAATTTGCAAGATCAGATCTAGGGTTTTTAACAATCTCAATACCAATTCATGTGCATTAGGGTTTTAGCAAACTATCAATTTGATTCAAGCAACCTATGAATCTAGCATTCGACCTAAATGTCATAAGCAATCAGATAGTCCATATTAACATGCTAAAACAAATTTAAACAATGAAAATATCAAAGTCACAGCTAGGGTTTATGCAGATCGGATTTTAGGTTCATGCGCAAATTAGGGTTTAGGTTAAACAACTTTCTAAACCTCAGATCTAATTAATTCAATGATCAAACAAACACATAGTCCCAGGGTGATCAATTTCAGCAAGTGATTAATAGATCTAGTGCAGCAAAAACGAACTTGGTCAATCAAAACAACCATAATCAAATCGATCCTAGAGAGAGACAAAACAAACCGGTTTTATGTCTTAGCAATCTAGGGTTTTAGATTATCAATTTGCTCAAACTCAAAACACGAAATCTATCAAGGTGAATTCCTAAAGCATTCAACATAAATAACTTGATAAAAATAAGCAAGCAAAACGGATCAAGCAAGCAAAGATTTCGAGTTCATAAATTAGGGTTTTAGGTTAACTTTTGTTCATGAATACAAGTTTGTATCCATGTACATAGTTAGGCTCTTTAGGGCTTTAATTTTATTTCTCAAACATACCAAAACATTTATAGTTTTAAGGGGGTCGAAACTTATGTTCAAGAGTTTAAGTTTCATACCTCAAATCTCCTTGTTTTTGAATGGACCTCCATTAGGGCAAAACCGGTTTGGATCTTTAGGAGAGAGAGAGATTGAATCACTTTAATCTTTTAGCTAAGGCTTTACACCTGCAAAAGAATAGTTAGCAAGGGATTTCTTCTTCAAAATAACTTAATAAATTAAGGAAGAAATAA